AACTGTCTTATAATATATATATATATATATATATATATATATATATATATACTGCTGACCCAACTTGTCTTCTCTAACAAATTTTCCTCTTTAAATTGCTGCAACTGAAAGCATATGAATGAGATCAGAGAAAAGATCATTTTGTTTTCTCATTATTCTTTCCTTATTGACCTTACTGCTCAAAACTGTGACAGCAAAAGTAAAAAGGAAAAGATGTGAAGATAAGGCTAAGCAAATGTGGCATTTTAGTATAAAAATTCTTAATAATCATCACCTCTAAGCTCAAAAAAGTAAATTATTAAGCACATATTATGTTCTAAGCATACTGCAAAAAAGATAAGTTTAAAAGGATTGACACAATATATTTTTATAGCTCAACGACATTCAAAATAACACTAAATTGTTTGGGGGTATATACATATAGTAAAAGTATAAAGACGTACATAGGAATAATAAATACCAACTATAGGAGAGTGGTAATCTCCAGGGGGAAAAAGATAAGTCGCCATACATTTTTGAATGTCTAAAATATTTAATAATTTAAAGAGAACTGAAAATATTAGTGCATAGCAGAAGAACAAAAACCAAAGACTGCTAAAAATGGCTGACTCAAAAGGAGGTTTCATATTTTTATTAAACTTCCAACTGGTGCAGGAATACGTATGGCTTTGAAAGGCAAAAAAGTAAAAATATTTTTTAAAGTGTTAAATAATGACATCTGGAAGGAAATCAGGAAATACTAAAACAAGAGTTACGTGTGAAAATGAGACTTCAGAGGTAATACGGGTGAAAGTGGGGACAAAGGTGTTTCTCTACTTATACCTATTTGTTATTGTTTTTTTAAAAGGAAGTTAAAATTTTTTTGTAATTAAAGACAAATTTTAAAAGGCTGACGAAACACTTTACCAGTAGGCTCTTTTCAATCCTTTCAAGAGCCTCCAACACTTCAGTGCACCTAGTCCCACTACTCCCAAGGCAAACTCACTTTTCTAAAACAAATTTCTGCCTATTCCATCCCATCCAACACTATGCACACTCCTGCACGTGTTCATATCCTAGTATTAGGCCTCTTTCAATTATTCCAATTTTATTCAATTTAATTTTTTAATTACAAATTCAAGTTCCATTGTCCACAAAGTCACACGATCCTTCTTACTTGTTACAACGGCTAATATTTATATAATGCCTATATGTTCTAAGACCCGTATATAGTCTCTCATTTTAATCCCCCCCCAAAAAAAAAACCCTTTGATACAATGCATCCCGGTTTTTAAAAGGGGGTAATTGAAGTTTAGGAAGTTTCCTAAATTGGTCAAGATTACAGAGCCATCAAGTGGCAGGGCTAATAATCAAACCCAGAACTGTACTGTTTCCAAAATGATTTACTTTCCACTAAACCATGCATCTCTAGCATAGAAGAAAAACATTTTGCTATATACAATTTTGTATGTGAATGTTTTGTATTTACAGGTAGACAGTAGATGCTTGTTACTCCTTTGATAATTTCAGTCATTATCAACAACTCACACTTCCATGTCAAGGTAATTTTAAAAAATAACATTTAATTTAATACACAGAAAAATGTCATGGGACCCAAGACAGAATTATAATGTTTTTATAAAGAAATAGATGCTCTGGGAGTTCAAATGACTTTCCCAAGGAAGCACACTGAGTAGGTGATAGGCTGGAAGAGGTATCCAGATAGATTCCTACTTCATTCTCATTCACACACTGACACAACCAACACAGGCAAAGAACATAACTAAAATGTACATAACTAGAAACAATTCTTGAGAAACACATAATAATAATTATAGACAAGTAAATGCTGAGCAAAGTAAGTAAGGATTATCAAAGTGGGGTAGGATTAGTCAGACTAGACCTTTTGAAGGAGGTGGAAGAACTGATGGACGGTGTCAGTGTGGCATTCCAAATTTGTGTTAGAGGAAGAAAATAAGGCAGAGAGAACTGAGTCAAGTAAGACATGTAGGACACTTGAGATACTAACATTCACTGTGCTTCCATTAGAAAAACAACTCAAACCTTTTAAAATAAGGAACCCTGGGGCTTCCCTGGTGGCGCAGTGGTTGAGAGTCCGCCTGCCAACGCAGGGTACACGGGTTCCTGCCCCGGTCCGGGAAGATCCCACATGCCGCGGAGCGGCTGGGCCCGTGAGCCGTGGCCGCTGAGCCTGCGCGTCCGGAGCCTGTGCTCCGCAACGGGAGAGGCCACAACAGTGAGAGGCCCGCGTACCGCAAAACAAACAAATAAATAAATAAAATAAGGAACCCTTGTGAACTGAGACAACTGTGTTAGGTTGAAACTGTCCCTTAATTCTCACCAGAATCCAGGAGCTCCTCGACCAATGAAACATCTCCTGTAGTCAAAGCTTTCTTAAATGTTTCATGCTTTTCTTCAATGGCTAACGGTCCTTTTAATTTCTAAAAAAGCAGAAAGTTAAAAAATTTTCCTGTTACACATACTTTCATTTCCACTGCATCGGGAAACAATAATGATCGAGTTTTGGTACATCTTTTTTTGGGGGGTGGGGGTGGGGGGAGGCAACATCCAAAGTTTGTGACTAACTCATAACTAAAATTATCTTTGGGTTATGATGGGTCCAAACCTAAGCAAAGAGCTACATCGACAACCTAAAGAAGCGCATTTGATGGAAAGCACAGTAGGGAAACTGCGAATTGGTTTGGAGTCCGAAAGCCTGTATTTACACTGGAAAAAAAATTAGGGAAACACAGGCGACGAAGTAAGAGGTTTCATGGCCAGGGAAGACCGATCCAGGTGCGGCCAAGACAAGTCCTCCTTCGCTACCTGAGCTGCCCGGTCGAGATACCCAATCTCCCAGCCGTCATCCTCGCTCTCGCTACTCTCGCCTCCACCGGCCACTGCCAGACCGCGCAAGGGACCTGCAGCCATGGCCGCCGCCCAGGTCCCTACAAAATCGGCCGCTCGCACGCACGCACGCACGCCCGCCTGCTCCCTCTGCGCCTGCGCACCGGAGCGCGTAAGGCTGCGCGGGAAGGCTGTGCGGGCAAGCGCGACGCGCTAGCGTTGGGGCCTTGGGCCCTCAGGCGCAGGCGCGTGAGCGCGCGCAGCGACCCGGGTTCCTTCCCGCCAGTCGTTAAGCCCTTGGGAGAGGAAAAGTGGTCAGTGTGGCGGGGCGAGCGGAGCTGATCTCCTGGCCAGTGCTTCCAATTCCTTTCAGGGGTCTTACCCTACATTCTTTTTAGGGTATTTGCTTAATGAAATTCTTGCTCTTTAAGGAATGCCCCACTTGTGGCAGGAGCAGAATGGGGATTTAAATGACGCATAAGACTAGGCTTTCGCTTCCATTACCTTTACCTGTCCCCCTGCCAAATCCACTATCAAACATGCGTCCCCTGGCCAATGCTGTTGGCCAGAATACCTCCCTGAGGAACATCACCCATACGTTCAAGGAGCCGGCAGATAAATGGGAGCTGACAAAGGAACCAGGAGAATTCGTCCTTTAAATTTCATGGGATCTCGGATCTCATCGTAGATTTAGAAATTTCGGAACATCAAACACTCCCCAGATGGGTAGTGTAGATGCCTTAAAGGAAATAATCGAGAAAGGGGAGGAGTGGGGAAGAGAATGCATCAAAACAGTTGGGAAGGGCTTCCCTGGTGGCGCAGTGGATGAGAGTCCGCCTGCCGATGCAGGGGACACGGGTTCTAGCCCTGGTCCAGGAAGATCCCACATGCCGCGGAGCGGCTGGGCCCGTGAGCCATGGCCGCTGAGCCTACACTCCGCAACGGGAGAGGCCACAGCAGTGAGAGGCCCGCGTACCGCAAAAAAAAAAAAAAAAACAGCTGGGAAGAAGAAATGATTTAAACTTTCAGAAAGTAAACAATACAAACAACTCCAGGTGAAAGCGGTCCAAACTGACTTTTCTGCATCTATTCCAGCTTCTAGATGAAATATTGGTAACACAATGATTATCTTTGCCGCCAGAGGAAAGTAGACCTATCAACGAGTAGGGCACATGTATATACCTAAAGATAATTTTAAAAGAATGTAGCCATGCACCATTCTTAGAAAGTTTTACAATATTTTTTTTCCCTTAAGGGGTCTTTGGTGTAAGATTTTGAAATTATCTGCTTCAGAGATTTTCACAGATAACTATTTTTAAGTAGTGTGGTTATTTGAGGGCAAGGTCTGTCTTTCTAATGCATTCATTCCATAAATGTCATGGATCACTGAGCACAGCCAGGCATAAGTAAGTTAGGGGAGACAACATCAAAGACAAACCAAGCTGCCTCATGGAACTAACATTTTAACGAATAAAGACAGTAAGCAAGTAAACAAACAGGATTATTGCAGATTGTAAGTGACCCAAGGAAATAAACAAGTGCTCAGTTTCTGGAATCGCATAACTTAGGTTGTTTCCCAGCCAAATCACTTACTATCAGGAGCTGTGTGCTGTCGGGCAATGTACTTAGCGTCTTTCTTCATCAGTTCCCTTATCTGTAAAATGGAGATTATGACGGTACCCATCATATAGAGTTGTTTGGAAGATTAAGTAAAGTGTGGGCTTGGAATAGAGCCAGTCTCAGTGTAAGAGGTAAATAAATCTTAGCTAGTACTATTATTATTATTATTATTATTATTATTATTTTAAATAGGGTAGTTGACCTGAGCAGAGTCATGAATGACAAGAAGGAGCCAGCCATAAAAAGTGAGAGACCAGAGCTTTCTTGGTGGAGGGCATGGCTAGTACCAAGGCCCTAAGGCAGGAAAAAGCTTGGACCAAGGCCTGGGACTAGGGTGGGGCAAGTGAAGACCCTAGGGAGAAAATTTTAAGAGACACTCTTAAGAGCCTGTAAGTTCTTCTATTTTGCACTCTAGGTGTCTCATTTACTTTACCTTGTCCCTGCCCTGCTTGGACCAGAAAGGCCTGAGGCTGGAGCTTCACTGAAGGAAGGGGTATGTGATGAGAGGACCTGTTGGCCTTAAGCAAGGATTTGTAGATTTTACTGTAAGAGCAATTGGACACTGAGATATTTTTAAACTGATAAAAGTCATGTTCTGGTGTGTGTGTATGTATATATATGTCTATTTAAAGATACTGAACTTCTTTTGTAGAAGAGATTTTTGGTTTGAGCATTTGGCTAAACAGTGGTGCCATTTACTAAGATGGGGGAAGATCATAGGATAAACGTGAAGATGGAATGAGCATCCCAAAATTATCATATTCAAAATCAAACACTGAAATGTAGCTGTCAGGTGGGTAGTTGGATGTTCAACTCTGGAGCTCAGGAGAAAGGCTGATCTTAGAGGTATAAATTTTGGAGTTATCTACACATAATTGATTTTTAAAACTTTGGGAATTTATCCAGCAAGATTTTTTGTAAATATAGATGCTATAGACTAAATGTTTGTGTCTCCCAGCCCCGCCTCCCCCCACCCCCCGGGCCCCACAAAATTCATATGTTGAAACCTGATCCCCAAAATGATAGTATTTGGAGGTGGGGCCTTTGGAAGGTGATAAGGTCATGAGGGTGGAGCCCTCACGAATGGGATTAGTGCCATGAAAGAGACCCCAGAGAACTCTTTTGTCCTACCATGTGAGGACACAAGAAGAAGGTACCCTATGAATGAGGTAATAAGCTCTCACCAGACACTGAATCTGCCAGTGCCTTGGTCTTGGACTTCCAAGCCTCCAGAACTGTGAGAAATAAATTTCTGTTATTTTAAATGATCCAGTCTATGGTATTCTGTCATAGCAGCCTGAACAGACTATAACAATAGATAAGATTAATCTAAAACTTACGTGTAATGGCAAAGGAACTAGATAGCTTAAACATTCTGAGAAAGATGAATAAAGTAGCAGGAATTATTCTACTTGATTTTAAGACTTATCATGTAGCTAGCTACAGTAATCAGGACTATGTTGTATTGGAGAAGGAATAGAATGGAACAGAGAACCTGGAAATAGACCCATGTAAGTAAGACCAAATGGTTTTTGACAAAGGTGAAAGAGCAGTTCAATGGAGGAAGGATGGTCTTCAACAGATGATGCTGGATCAACTGAAAATCCATAGGTAAAAAAAGTGGACTTAATTTTGAAAACCTCACTTCTTTTCAAAAATTAACTCAAAATGGATCACAAATGTACACAAATGTTCATAGCAGCATTATTCCTATTAGCCAAAAATTGGAAACAACCCAAATGTCCTTCAACTGATGAATGGATTAAAAAAATGTGGTATATCCATACTATATATATTATTTTCCTAGGACTACCATAACAAATTACTACAAATTGAGTGGCTTATAACAACAGAAATTTATTCTCTGACCTGGAGGTTAGTCTGAAATCAAAGTGTCAGCAGCACCATGTTCCCTCAGAAAGCTCTAGAGGGGGCTCCTTCCTTGCCTTCTCATAGCTTCTGGTGGTTGCTAGCAATCCTTGACATTCCTTGGCTTGTAGAGATACATCACTTTAATCTCTGCTTCTTTATTTACAAGGTATTCTTTTCTGTGTGTCTGTGTCTCTGAGGGCCTGTGTATCTAAATTCCCCTCTCCTTGTAAGGATATCAGTCATATTGGATTTAGGACTCACCCTAATTCACTGTGACTTCATCTTAACTTGATTATATCTGAAAAGACCTTATTTCTAAACATGGTCACATTCATAGGTTTTGGGTGGACATGAATTTTAGGGGGTCACGGTTCAACCCAATATACCACGTATATCACTTAGCATAATGTTTTCAAGATCCACATTGTAACATATATCTGCACTTCATTCCCTTTTATGCTGAATAAGGTGTGGTACTGATTTCAAAAGGTGATTTCAGGAGGTGGCAGGACCCATTAAAAGACTGCTATAATTGTGAGCTGGAGAAGTGGCAGCAAACATGGAGAGAAGAGGATGCATTCAAAATTTATTGTGAATAAGAATCACAATGGTGATTATATGAAGGACATGGGGACAGAGAAGTCAAAGCTAATGTGACAAGGACATTAGAAGAGGAAAATGGAAATGGAGATAAGTTTTGTTTTGCACAGAGACAGTCTGAAATGTCTGAGGAACATCCATGTTCAGATAAGGTGTAGAGCTCCCAGAGAGGGCTGGGCTATCAATTCAGCTTTAGAAACCATCTTCCTAAGAGGTGATAATGAATATATTAAAGCAATGATATTGCTGAGGGAGAATGGATAGGATGAAGAGATCAGTGGGCCAGAAATACATCCTTGTGGAATGACTGTTCTTTTAGAAATAATGATCAAAGAAGCAGAAGACTTGGAAGAGATCAATGTCTCAAAACTCTGGCACTGAATTATAACCTCAGATAATTACAACAGCAATAATAATGATACTAAATTCATTTTATAATACTTCCTATATTCCAGTCACAGTTCTCAGGACTTTACTTATATTAAGTCAATACTTACACAACCCTGTTGAGGTAAATATGATCTCAGTTTTACAAAAGGGGAAATGGAGACACAGAAAGGTAAAGTCACCTGCCTAAGGTCATCTACCTTGGCAGGGATGGAATTCAAATGCAGAAAACAGTCGGCTCTGAAATCCATGCTTTTAGTCATCACTTTTTAACACTTATGTAGAACTTTCCTGTGCCCTGACACTTTTCTAAGCACTTTACATCCATTAATCCATGTAATCCTCACTATAACTTTTTGAGGTAAGTGCTATTATTATTTCCGTTTTACAGATGAGGAAACTGAAATACAGAAAGGTTAGGTAAATAGCCCAAGATTATACAGCTGCTAGGTAGGATGGTCAGAATTCACAGCAGACTCTCTGGCTCCAGAATGGGGCTCAGGTTTAACTCAGGGAAGTGTGATGCCCACAAAAGCACTCAAAGCACACAAAAGCACAAGAGGGATCCTTGTTTCTAACAAGTGTTTCACCGTCACACTGTAGCCC